ACAGAGTTCTTGTACGTAATGTTAAAACAACCTCTCATAATGGATATGATGTTTATTTTAACGTAAAATGAGTTAATAATGCCACACAAGAAATTGGAGCCATAGTAAAACTGCTAAGGTCCCAAATCTTGCAAGGAAACTTAAGAAATCTAACAAAAACAAAGAGTACACTTGAATAACAATTAAACAACAATACAATGTTGAAGGAGGGAGTAGGAGAAGAGAAAATTAATTAAAAAATAGTAAAATGGTATATAAGACAACTATAAAACAAAACATGTTTACAAAAAAAAATTTACAAGTTGGCTGGTTACTCATCCCCAGAGTGGGTATGATTATTAGCGTCTAAATTCTCATACTGGCATTTCCCAGTGAGGTGGGAGACGTAGATGTCCCTTGACCATCTAATGCAATCTGAAATGCAAAGTTTTTGTAGAAGGCCAAGGTATTCACCAGAGCAGACTGTCTTGAGAAACTTATCGTTCCTTGGGTCCCACGCACCAAGGGCACCAACACTGATAGGAATTATCTGGACTTCCCGGAATCTTCTTGCTTTGAATAATGGTGCAAGAGGAAAGTATTTGTCAATTTTGGTGGCTCTCGCCCTTTTGAAGGCTTGGTATTGGTTCTCGAAAGGAACAGTTACATCGATGATGAAGAGTTTCTTTCCCAGACGAAGAACCAAATCAAGACGAAGTCCAGATATTCCGCATTCCTGGTTCTCAGCGATCAGAGTCCCCATGTAGGTAACTTCTATCTTAACTCGATCCACAATAGCATTGTGGTGGTGTTGCCACGCAGCAGAGTAGGAAGGACAATGGTTTATCACATACGGAAGAGTTTCATCCGCATAATTGCCCCTTCACTTTCGATTTCCAGGGTTGTGCGCTAAGTGCAACAAGATTGAGACGTGCCTCATGCACAAATCTCCAGCCAGTGAACCACTCGTCAGGATATGTGAACTCGCTTTTGCTAACTGCATATAGTTCATTGCCTTCCCCTGGGATCGATTTTTCAAGAGTTGTTGGTCCTCATAGAGGCGGAGGAGTTTGTGGAGATTCTTCACAAATCTCTTCTTCATATGAGGTCTCAACTCATCATCATCTTTCTGCATAGTGGGGAGTCTCAACTCAGCATCATCTTTCTGGATCGTGGGGACTCCTTCGGAGAACGTCCAAGTGACGTCACTTCGGGTGAAGGCCTTCAGTCGGGTCTCTCTGCAATCTATGTCTCAAAGTGCGTTTTAGTTGGGCGAGCGCGAAAGTAGCCACATCGTCGTCTGGAGAGTTAAATAGTTTGAAAACCGAATCAATCAGGCAAAGATCGGGGTCCATGGTAGCAGACGGGACTCCGCAGCCCCAAATTTCTCGGCTTCCCCCCCATAATGGTTGGATGCGTTGTCTGGGAGACCAAGTATCTCCTTTACCTCCTTAAGAATGGCCTTGTTGACGGCAGACCAATCAGATTTGCCGAACTGTGCCATTACCATTGCATGGCAAAGAGAAGGAAATAATTTCTTCAAGGCATCCAACCTCTGCCAAGATGCGAGCATGGAGGTCGAGATGGTGGAGGCGATCTCTCTTGACTGTCGAGAAATCTTTCGGCAAGCAGAAACCCATTGCCTTGCCCAGGTACGAGTAGTGCTCCCCATCCTTGAGACATTTAATGGGATTTCTATTAATGTGGAAGATGGTGGAGCGACCACCAACAGAAGTCCTTCTGAATAAGTGGAGAAATGCATACTTTCCGTGGTTTGGCGACAGGAGGAGAGACCCGAGGAACATGGTAGTGAGATTAAGTTAATTCTGGAGTTCATCAGGCGAATTTGAAAAGACGACGAGATCATCCGCATAGGCTAGGATCTTTTTTTGTTCGTGTTCACCTTTGACACTTCGCAGGAGGTTGTAAATGGCAAAGTTAACTAACAGTCCACTTAAAGGACATCCCTATTTGAGACTTCGCCGGCAAGGGATAGGCTCTGAGTTACCTCCTATGCAGAGGATAGACGAGAAGGAATCCGAGTAAATGTTTTCTATCAGGGTAACGAAGACAAAGTCGGCTCCCACTGCGAGGAGGGCGGCGAGAAGGATGTCAGGATGAATGGACTCAAATGCGTTCGAAAGGTCCAGACAGCAGGAGAGAGCTTCCTTTTTGAGGCAAGTGGCTGATTCCAGCTGCTGTGCACTTATGTAATTGTGCTCCAGAACACCATCAAAACGGAGGAATCCCTTTTGGTTCGGCTATAGGCAGTTGAGGAAAGAGCACCAGTCACTCAGCTTTCTAGTCAGACACTTGGAAAATAGCTTGTAAATTGTGTTGGATAAAGAGATGGGCTTCAGTTGGACAAATCCTCAGTTGATCTTTTCTTGTGGATGAGGATTGTCAGAGAGCGTTTCCAAGTGTCTGGGATTAGCCATAGTTGTTAGCCCAGATAGAATATTTTACAGAGTATCACCCCTAAGGGATCAACCTTGCGCCAGTGTTTGTAAGCTATGCCATCAAGTCCTGGCCCGGTGTTCTCCACTGAATGAAGAAAGTCTTTAACCAAATCTGAGTCGAGGTTCTCGACAATCGGAGGCAGGTCTGGAGGAGAACCGAAGTCCAGGACAAGGTGATCTTCATGAACGTTCAAAATCAACGTTCAGGAAGGACCGAGGAAAGACTCGACTCCAGGTCGAGCCCAAATGGATTAATTGTTTTGATGGAACCTATTTTCAGTACCACTTGAAAGCTCGAATGGCGTGGTGGTGTTACTTTCCTTCTACTAAAATTTAAGTATGCCACGTAAGTAGGAAATAATTTTGAATCCCATAGCGAGCGAAAGAAACGTGGCTCGATGGTCTAGGGGTATGATTCTCGCTTTGGGTGCCAGAGGTCCCGGGTTCAAATCCCGGTCGAGCCCGATGTTTCTCGCCTATTTTAGCTT